CACAAGGCTAAATTTCAATTTGGGGATCAGACTCCTAGTTGCAGAGCTCTGACGATGGTGGAGACCGACGGTCGGCCTGCAAGGTAAACTCATGTTCAGTGCGGAAAGCCTTCAAAACAAGCACGCTGCTTTGCGGGTCTGCGAGTCTGTGCTGGGAACGTTGCTGCGTCCCGGGATGGCGAATACAAGAAGCCTTGGAGAGGCATACAAACTGGGTCCCTGCTTTGCGAACTAGTAGGCTGGTGATGGCTTGAAACCGAAAACCTGCAAACTTCAGCCTTGAGCTCCAAGCGGCATAGCTGCTCCACCCTTCAACTGAAGAGTAGCTGCCTTCAACAATCTTGGACAAAGAGTATGATAGGTCGAGCTGAGCAAATGGTCATGGGTGGGAGGGTGGGTGGGTTGGGGGGAGGGTGGTTTGGCTTATCCAAGCCTTATGCCTAAGCTTGGGTGATGATGGTGATAAGCCCGGATGATTGCTACATTATTCTCTAGAGGCAGTAGGGACAAGGGCGGGGATACTTCAACAGATACTCAAGCATACTAGTTAGCATCACTTCCTCGGCAGTTTGCCTACAGTAAGCCTTTACAGGAATGTTGACTGAGGGCTCGCCGTATCTTTCATAAGATACACTTTTGGCTCCTCGCGCTGCAAGAGGTATCACACACATTTGGCGTGAGCACTGAGTTGCCGTACCATTATGGTACGTTTCTGATTTCTGGACAATCACATCCTGATTCGAGGTAGACTGGTATAACACAAATTCCTCTCAAGCGATTGCATCAACTTCAACTGGCAGTCAGTCACAACATGCAAGATCCTCCATTCCGGCCTTGTGCTCCCTTGGTATTTGCACAGCTGCCTTGGCAGAAACTGTACCTTCTGGGCTAAACTTTGACTAAAACGTTCTCTGAGCAGGTGCTTCGCCAGAGAGCTGCAAAACCTAAGCCTGCCACTAGCGGAAAAGGAACTCCGAGCCCGCTTGCAGCCTGCAAGCTGTCTGCTCCATGGAGCGGAGACTATGCATCTGTGGTCATAACTGCGAACCTCAGCAAAGTCCAATACCGGACGGGATGCAGACCTCATCTGAAAGCATCCGTTCCCACAACATCCCCAACCGAAGTGCTTCGTAGTAGACAGGATTATGAAACAGACCCAAGGCCCAGACACAGCGTCAGCCTTTCGCGACAGCTGCCTGAGACATGCAAAGGGACTAAAGAGGAGTGTGGGATCAACAAAAATGATACTTTTTGTTGATGTCTATCCCAATGATTTAAGAGGGTCACAGCTGAGCATACGTACTAAGCGAGACAAAGGGACTTCAGCGGTTCGCAACCTCCCGCCTTGTGAGGCGCCAAGCTTCCTCTGCGGCCTTCAGGATGCCATGGTAACGTGATGTACACGGCCCGATGAAGCAAAAGCTTCAGATGCCATTTTCTCACGAAAGAAGTGGCCGGCATGCTTGAACTGCGCTGACAGCTGGCGCCTTGGTGAAAGCATCAGTGTCCGGCACGGAGAAGAACTGGCCGATAGTGGAAGCAGCCCTGGCCAACTGTTGCAGCATGGCAGTAATCGAGCGCGCAGGCAATTCAGCAGCTTCCTTGACAGCTCAAGGTGACGCAGACGCCGGCCTCACATGGTGAGCAGAGGAGCCACCCTTTCCCCACACCATCGCCGTCATCGACTTGACACCAACATTAGGGCTGCAGATGCTTTTTGTCACAGTCGTATCTGCATGATGTCGATCCCCTTTCATGCACAGCTATGGATGGCAGATTCATTGAACAATAATCCGCGCCTCCTTTCAGCCGTTCTGCTGCCAGGAGATTTGCCACTGCATAGCGCCAGGCCTCTTGGCAGCTTCAGCGATCCGAAAGAAAGCCCGTTGCAGATTTCCACTGTACGAAGCCTGAATGGCAAATCCATGCACCATCTTCCCTGGACATGTCCTTATCAGCTTATCCACCTACACCGCTGACCATGAAAAACGGAATGGCAAATGAGGCAGCTAAGCCTGGTGACTGACTGCTTACTCGTGAGTCTGTCACGTCATAGAGAATGGATGTGCTGTCTCGATTCTGCCGGCTTTCATGTTTGCTTCCACCAGAATACACAGCGTCTGCTCTCAACCATACTCGAGTTTATCAACGTAATCGGGGCTATGATCTACCTACAGTCTCTTTATACCCTTGGGGTACCTAAGAGCCCGCCTTTTTGAGAAACCCCCCCACATGACCCACATGGCTCTGAAGCTGCTGGGCCATATGGAACCTTACCTTTTTACTTCCCTCTGCGTCCTCAAAGGGTTCACTACACTCGCCACCTGATTAAAAGCAGAAAACGGGAAGGCGGCTTCAAGACGTCCTCTGTCATTGAATGGCCTGTTGCTGGTTGCCCTTCAAGCTCCGTTCATGCCCTAATTTGCAACCATGAAGTGCTGAACTACAGCCAAGCACAAGAAGGTCCTCGTTCATGAGTCTTTGCTGTGCCCAGGCATCAACTGTAAGTACATAGTGACATAGTGTTGCAGCTTGAAGTTTTTGGAGGGCAGCATTCAGTAAAGCGCATCATGGCTGACAACCACCCCAGCTATGTTTGATGTTTTGGCCTCAACAGCTGCCCATGGCTGCTCGCAATCCTGACAAAGAAGCACTGACCCAAAGCAGAACAGTTCAACCCTAATGACGCTTCTACTGCTGATGAGCGCTCCCGGTGAATTCCGGTGAGCGGCCCAAAAGGGTACATCAGGCATCCACTGCGAACTGCGTGCCATCAGCTTGCGCAACAGCATCAAACTGCATGCAAGCATGTTACATACATACCTGCTTCATGTCTGTCTGTATGGATGCATACACATATACAAACATCACATGAAGCCAATGCTTAACAGGCCAAAACGAGCCTGGAAACGCCTAGCAGCAGCACAAGTTGAGGACGCACCTGGCCAAATCGAAAGGGCAAGGCTGAGGCACCAGACGTTCCAAACAGTTAGTGGCATCCTAGGCATCCTGTACGGCAACTGCAGTGCTTGATGTCAGTGAGTGCAACACTAGAAGCTCCGACTTTGGCCTTAGTCATCCAATGCAAAACCTGGCTTTGGATCTTGACAGTAACATTCTAATGCTTTGACATGAGAAGGGCTAGACAAATCGTGCATTGGCTATTTCTGCCCACCTGCTGTCAAGGCCCATTCCGCCGCCTGCACGCACATGATCTCTACCCTAATTTGACATAAACCTACAAGAGCTGTCCGTCCAAGGTTTCGACACCCCCCTGTCAAATTGCAACCACTCGAAGTGTACATGCTGCATGCACTTGGAGGCCTCTACAAGGGGCACAGGAATCTCTTCCGCCAGAAGAACCACTGGTGCCCATAGCAGGCATGCACCTCTACGCATAAATTGCTGCAACTCATGTGCGGCTGGCAAGTTGCTCGTTGTTGAGCAACGAGGCAAACTACAACCTCGGATTCACACTCTGGTGCTGCTGACGCTGATGACAGTCACTCTGATGATGCTCGAGCTTGTCATCGCCATGATGCTCTCCATACAAACTTTCGCAATGCCATACGTTTTCTGTCTCCACTGCCGCAAGAATAATTTGAGTCCAAGAGGGTAAACTCTGCAGCGGGAAACCGCGGCTACACAGTCTGCTTCAAAACGCTGAATGGATGTTCACAGCTGAATCCTCTCGTCAGCTTCCTGGCTTCCTCGGTAGCACTCCTTTTGCCCATGCAGAGATAAGGCAGGCATGAATGTCGAAAACGAGGGGGCTTCTTTGTGCCCTTGAAGCCTTGCCATTCCTCAGAACCGTGATTACTGGGGTAATATTTACAAGCCCCGGCTTTCAGGACCTGTAACCCCACAGCCGCTCGAGGATGAGAAGGGCATCCCTCTTAAGAAAGATCTGCTGAGTTGGACGTGCAAAAAAATACAGGGGTAGCCAGAGGTCTTCGACCCCTTGCGCGGTGCATTTGCGTTTGCAGGACATCTTGTCTGTGCAGGAGGTAGAGAGAAAAAAGGTTGATCCAAGCTTTGTGGACCTTCCCGTATCTTCCCGTCCCTGTTCACATCATTTACATGGTATAGGAGCTAATCGGGTCTGCTATTTCCGCAATGCTGCCTCCTCCAAATGGGCAACATTGGCTGCACCAGCAAGCAATCCAAACATCCATGAGAAAACCAGGAACATGCTTACGCAAGAAGCAGAGAACAGGCTATGCACACATTTGCCGAAGAGGAGAGGTCCTTCAGTTTGATCGCTGCTGTTGTGTCTCGCAGGGCCTGGCTTTGGACACAAGCAGCTGAACCTAGCTTTAGGAATGTATCAAGTCAAAGGCAGGCATCCTGCCATGCTTGGGAACCCACCATGAGACAGCCAGTCAGTGCAAGCCAGCAACTCTCGACAAGAAGACTCTGTTGCAATTCACAGTGCATGTTAACTAGCCATGCTCTCCCTCGCACAAATCACACTCAACAACCTGATGCACACCGCAGCCGCCTGCAGCTTCTAAAGCCTGGAAGCGGATATCGAGAGGGATTTGGTGAGTTTCGCAAGCACTGAGCATTCTGGATAAGTGGAAGTTGTGAATTTGGGATTTGCTGCAATTTGACGAGAATCTGGCGCCGTGTAGACCAAACAGCGGGCTGAAGGCTTGGCAAACAATGAAGCGCAAAACCGGTTTTCAGCTTCTTCTCCACTCTAAGACAGAGGCTCCTGTAGTTCTAGAGCTTGTTCAAGGGTCAAATGCTTCAGTTCTGGCGCCCCAGCCTGTGAGCTTGGGGAAGCTGCCACCTCCTGCTCATCATTTGCCGTAGACTCGAAAACGCGAATCTTCTGCTGCTTTACCTTGCCATGCAGCGGCTTGTTTTCAGAAGAGTGGGCTGCATGCATTGCAACTGTCTTGTAAGGATGCAATCTTGCTCTGTGCGCTTGTTTGCACAACTACAAACTTCGCTGAGATCGGTTCCCACTTTTTGCCTATTCGCAGCCATCTCTACTATAGTTGGCAAAAGCAATCATCAATCTGACATCTGGCAACGAGCTGAATGTAGTTCCGGACATGCTCCCTGTGACGACCTCAGACCAAGGCTTCTGCCCAAAGAGCTAGCTCTACTTGCTGCTAAGACGACTGGGACATCAAGAGCATAGGTGAACACCAAACCGACAGCAGACCCCAGTTGCTCGCAAAGCCACCCATGCAATCATAACGCAGGTGTGCAGACTAATAGCCAGATGTTGGGGTGCACCATTGGGGGCTCTGGAAAGAAACAGGGTCTATAAGGAGAGCACGGAGGTTTCCATCATTTCCATAAGAAGGCTTGGGATCCGGCCGGCGTTTTGGATGGATCTGGGCAGAGTTGAGAATTAGAGAAGGGAACAGGTTTTGGGGCTTTGGGTTTCCGAGCGGAATTTGGTGCATGCAGGGGAACGTACTTTGTCCCACTCTTGAAGTTTCGCTTCTGGCAAGACAATCCTTGCCGACAAGAATTGTTGCGTACGTCTCTTTCGAGTTAACACTAGACATTGCACTGTTCCCTAACTCACCAGGTACTGTAGCTGAACCATCTACCCGAATCTACCCTGGCCCAATGGCCTTCCGGTTGACCTGGGACCAACAGCAGCAGAGGAAGTCTGCGAGACCATTCCTTGGGCCCAGCATCTCAAGCTGCCGTCTGAACGCGGACGAGCAAAAATGAAGGGTCGTGAGAGCTCGAGGAGACAAGGAGGTGGCCAGCCAAGTGGCCTTCGGACAACCCCAAGCGCTCGAGGTTGTAGGTGGCCTTAGAACGAATCATGCACCTTCAGTTATTAGAGGGCACTGATGGGCTCTTCTGAGCTCGGAGTTCTTGATGTTGTCTCCATCCCAGACATGGTCGTAAGGTTCAGGCGGAGCCTTGCGTGGTGGTTGGGTCTTCATCGGGATCTTCCTTGTCCTTCAAGGCATCTGGCCTAAACCCTTTGTCTGGTCACACGATGTTCAGAAAGACACACCAATGCTTGTATACAGAAGCGTCCTGACCGTACAAGACGACCATGAAGCGAAGAATAACGGGCACGATGGCTGACAGCGTGGCTACCACCACGAGCACGTCACTTGCGATATCCTCAGCTCTCTGGGCTGAGGACATGGCCTGCATGGATAACACGTCGGGCCACAAAATGTGAAGCCCTCTGTGGCAGCAGGCACATACGCATCTCAGAAACTGTCAACTCTCTCAGCCTCAATTGCATTGCATACCATGGAGCGGACCAGCCGGATATCACGAACACTAGAAACCTAAGCAGCATTAAGCAGCTGTGCTTAAAACTGAGATCTGTTGATCCCAAACGGGCGTTCGCCGACACGTTCTTGGGTTCATTACATTGAAGGCTTCATGAAGCAGGGCCCTGAAGGTCTATGCCTATCACCTCTGTGTTTTTTTGTCAAATAGCATTTACCGCGCAAGGATCTCAAGAAGCTTCCCAAACATGCAGCGGCTAAAGAAGGCCAAATTTTTGAACCCCAGCTATGAAATTGATGTCTCCGACTACGACCTACTCCTCATGCCTGCAGACAATCCTGTGCTGAGGATGATGCAAGCTTGGATTGAGCCTAGCCGCACGTAAATCAAAGAGTGGACGGCGACTTCCTTCAGCAAAAAATCGCACGTGGCGCTGGCAGTACTTTACCAACGGAACGCTTCTCTTCCTATTATGATCTAGAATTATTGGAAGCCTTCAGACGACCAAGCCAGTTCACCTTCCTGCATGCAGAGAGCTGTGCAAGCATGCAGTGGGAGCTCCTAAAAAACAAGGTGGGCTTCATACTTAACGTGCACTGGAGGAAGAGCTTCCAAAGGGTGACGGCATAAACTCAGCTCGGGCACCGCAAGCTACTGCATGCCATGCCGAACACTTGCACTGAATTACCCACACTCAGACTACGACAATTCCTACTCACCTCTGCGTGGAGAAAATCTTGCAACTCCTGAGTCTACAAGCTGAAGCAGCACCAGGCACCCAGTCGTTCAGGAACGCCCATACATAGGGCTGCAGACTCGCGCCGAGAATAACATACCTGTTTGGGATTTAAATGTTTCGTGAGGTGGGCAGGCAGTGGGCCCGGGCAGCTTACATATATGAGCATCTACATATACATAGATATATACATATATAAAGGCTCCCCCCGAAAAAATGAATCCACATTTATGGAGGCTCAGGTATACTATCTAGCCGTTTTGCTTTTGGATCTGGGTGAGGGTGGGAAACACATATGATATCTAAAATCCAAAGTTAGCCACGGCTCCAGTAGATCTATATAGAATCTACAGATTTTTGGAGAACTCAAAGTTCGTTAGAGCAGTTGTTTTCGATAGGATTCCAGTGTATGTGAACATTTAAAAAAAAAAACTACAGAAACGTCCTAGGTCCCTGGATTTCCGGTTTTCATGATTTTGATAACTATGTGGTTTATAAGAACTCTTGCTAAAACTCAATTGAGAAGGATTCCTGGATTTCCAGTTTTGGATAGGAATTTAGTTTACATGACTTCCGGTGAAAATTTGATGAAGAATAATGCGAAAGACGTTATTTCTTGCATTTGGGCGTTTCCACAGAGATTTTCTGTACGATTCGGTTCTAGGAAGCAATACAAAGGTCGATTCCCGGAATTCCATTTTTGGGAAGCAATTTGGTCTGAAATTGATGAGCAATGATATGAAAAAGGTTGGTTCTCCCCCCTCCCCTCCCCTCCCCACCTACCCTAAAAGCCTAAGGCCTGTTTTCACTGGCTATCCAGCCTCAGCAGACCCCATCCAATCGTGGCAACCCGCGGCTTAGTCCAGCCCCACCATCTGATCCGGCAGAGGCGCGGATGCATTCTTCGGTGACTGCTTGGGTATGTAAGATAAGCGTTCACGTGGACAGGGTTTGGGCCCGCAGCTCCCTGAGCAAATGTGGGCGCTTTGGCTTGTGTTCCAACGGTTCTTTGGCATACGCCGCCCCAAGAAATGCGAATATTTGTATGGGGCATTAGGCGTTTGTTGGGATCTATGGGATCCAGAACATTCATATGTTCGAGCTTATATGTGCAGAGGCCTTTTCTGACGGCACCCACGCACAAAATAGGCAACTTCCGAGCAATGCGGTTGTTCATCAGACGCTGCTTGCCCAAAACCTTGGCGAAATTACAACATGTTTTTCCGGCATCTTCTAGTTATCTTCCCACCCGACTCTTACTTGGGATGGCCCCTGGTCAAAAAGCATGTGCCACATTCTGCGGTTTTTTGACATTGAACCACTGATCTGCGCTGACCTCGAACTCTTCACCAAGCTGGCCACAGCTGACTACGCTTACTACCATCACTACTTTTCGCCGAGGCTGGTCCAACCTCAGGGTGTTCGAAACCCACTTTAGACCCCTCTACTCCCCCTTGCTGACCACTCAACCCCAGCCACGCCCACCCCGCCCCTCCAGTGGTGGGCGGCCCAGTCAATTCAATTCCAGGACTTCCAAGGCTTGAGAGCTTGGGAGTAAGGGCCGGTGAGACTTTTCTGGATTTCCCAACCCCCCCCTTTCCCGCCTAACCTGTGGTCAGCGAGGAACTTCTTTCTGTACACCCCAGCAGCCGAGGCGGGTGCGATAGCGTTTACAATTATGGGTTGCTGGATTTCCTGTTTCATTTTTTGGATATGGATTTGGTTTAGATGCCTGGATTTTCAATTTTCATGTTTTGGGTAGGGAACTCGTGTATATGAATTCCGTTTATGAATCATTGCCCTGGACAGCACGAAGCCATGGAAATCTTTAGTTTTTGGCTGAAAAACTGGAAAAAACAAAGCCCAAGCAATGTTTGTTGTTGGATGAAGCATTGGGCATTTTTTGTTTTTGGATGAAAACCACCCACACCAAAACGCGCAGGATCTTCTTGGTTTTAAGATGAGAAACTAGATGACATGTGGAATTTTCAAGGCACAATGGAAAGCAACCTCAGGAACACTTCAAAGAACTTGTAGGGCGGACCCACCAGTTTTGGTGTGTCTCTGTGTGTGTGTGTGTGTGTTTTGTTCTTGGTTGTTTGTGTTCGATTATCCAGGGTTTCTGTAGTATTTCTAGTTAAAGTGAATTCCAAAAGAACTCTATCGATTTTAAATGCGTCGAAACACACATGTCTGCACATCTGAATTTCAAAATGGATGACCTCTCTATGGTTTGCTGCTCTTTCTCGAATAGAAAGAACAGATTTACACAAGCAGAATCTGGCTTCATGTTCTCGTAGTCCAAAAGGCAGAGATCAACCAAAAAGTGATACACAATCTGAGAACACGTGCAAAAGACTTGTATTTACAGTGTGCTCAGGTTGTCCTGTCACTGAAAAGATCTTCAAGAACAAGCCCATGAAAACACGAACCACATGAAACGAGGATCTTGAGAGCTGACCATATACACAATACATACATACATACATACATACATACCTACACATATATGTATATATGTATGTCTGAATATATGGGTGGTTGTCAAAATTACGGTCCCTTTTTGGGTACCCTAAATATTAGGTGCCGTATTATAAGAGGGATCCAACAAGGGACCATAAGTTGGACAACCACCCATATGGTACCGGTAGCGGCGCTGTAGAGGACATGCATGATGCATCGGCATAAGCAGTGGTAGCAATGCCACAAAGCACAACTTCATATCATTCTCGGGCGCGGGCGTTAGCGAGACGAGGAGATACACCACGGGCACCTCTGATTGATCCCGTCGCATCAACATGGCGTAGATTGTGATCACGAATCCTTGGCATAGTGCACATCGCAGCAAAACCAAGTGCGGCCAGATGCCAACAACTTCGAGCCCTTTGTGGAAACTTCCCTTTAGCCAGAGCCAAACTGACAGCTTCAACACAGACATTCTTTCGCGAATCTGCACGAATTGAAAGGAACCCCTGGCATAATACCTTGTTTGCTCGAGGTGGCGAGCAATGAGAAGGATGAAAGTCCAGCTGTAGGCCAGCACTCTCCTTAGAGTCTGACATCATGGCAAACAATCATTTCTCGGCTTCCCTGACTCGTAACAGACTGATCCTGCAGAGATTTTCTTTCTGAATGGAAAGAAGAGCCCGTAAGGTACCGCCTGAAGTCCCGAGTCGTCGTGAATATTTCCTGTGGTTGAAGGAGGCTACATAGCTGAACTGCGTTGAAGTGCAGCCTGGTTGCTTGATTGCTCGCGCACCAGGCACGGACCACCTGTGAAAGGCAGCGCTGGAGGCAAACATGCTCGGTGCATAGCTTTGCTGGTTTCATGACGGCTAGGTTGCTAGAAGTGAATGTTGGCGCGAAACCTGTTTTCCACATCTGCCTCTCCAGGCACCGTCTTTACGACCTCTTGAAACCTGCTCAGGCAAGTTCCTGACTGCTAACCATCAATATCCAGTAACGACATTTATACGACACTGCACCTCTCCGGCATACATCCACAAGGGATTTCCAAGAGAATAGGGCACCTTCACTTTTGAATTCTGCTCTCAAATCCCAATGCAGAATTTCATATCAATCTTGCAAAGTTCGCACCTCGCATAGTCGAGCAGATTGTCGAGCGTAAGCCTTGCAAGGCTGGCACTGTGAGGGAAGAGATTTCTGGATCAGCTTGCGCCCTTTGATGAAAATGCCCGAAGCTTATCCCCAAACTTTGACAGAACAACTCCCCACAAATAGAGCTTCTTGATAACTGTTCCTCGCAACTCAGGTCGTCTGAACTGTTACGCATGGCCTGCAAGCTGCTGAACAGCAGGTCTCTGCTTTTATCAAAAGGCTCAATTCGCCCGTCGCTGTTCCGGCCAAACTTTCAAACAGGAACAGAAGTGGTGAAGTCATCAATTCGATTCTGGTATACTTGATGCATGGACAGCATGCTCAAGCTTGTTTGCGCAGTCATTCTTGGGTGGTTGAGGATTTCGGCCTCACACACGCAGCGCCAGTGCGCGGTGGTATGAGACTCCCCCTAGTGCACCCCGGCCAGGACCGCAAACGGAAGAATCAACAATGCCGCAAAGCAACTTCACATGGTGAACATCTGACACCTGCGAGGGGCGGAGGTCAGATTGAACTTGATTAAACAGGCTTGACATCCCACAGGAAAGGCCTACACTGCCAGCTTGGCCTGATACGCTTATTGGGGAGTAAAAGCTAGCAAGGGTCATTTCTCAGTTCATCCCCACGCCCTCGCCTATACCCCTACACCACTACATATCACAACCCTACACCATAACAGCCAGGAAGCACGCTTAGTTGTAACTTCTTTTTTTGCTTACTTGTAACTTTTAGGGTTTTGAACTGGATTCAGTTAGTTGTAATTTTTTTGCTTACTTGTAACTTTTTCGGTGCCGTTTCCCCACGAGGGATGCCAAAACCCTTGATTGCGTGTAACTTTTTTTCCGGCCTCAAAC